ACATCAAATGCTCTGCTTGTATTGGAAAATTAAGGGAGGAGAGTATTATAAGGGATCTCAGTCACCTTTAAAACCAAGTCTGTATTGAACACTATCTGAGGAGTAAGATTTCATTTGACAATATGGTTGTCCTTGATGCTGTGGTAATTTCATTGGAGTTAGCACTTTAGAAAGCATTCTGCTGTGAAGTGCAGAGAGTCAATCATTTGAGAAATTGGCTCATGAAAAACAGGGTATAAAATAACTTGGTGAGTGTGGGCTCAAAGGAGTCTCTCTGTAGGTTAATCTGTATAGGAGGAGGGAATAAATGAAGGAGAGAAGAGAAAATACCGGAGCACCTGAGAAGAGAGGGATCTTCCAAAGAAAAGTGAATGAGGTGACCCTTCATCCCAAGGAGAAGAGATGCAGCTCGCCCAAGAAGATGAGAGATCAACAACATCCATGCAGGATGCCAGGAAGTCCTCCAATGTGCATAACTGGTGAGAGGGGACAAGGATTGAGGAAAGCAGGGTGATCAAGAAAATGATTGTTGGAGATATACTCAGGGTGGTCTAGTTGTGTTGAGTAAAATCTGATAGTTCTTGCCTTAAAATGTGGGTTTTAGTTTTATGATAATATGCCAAGGCTAATGGCAGTATGGCACTACCATTAACAAGATAACTTGCTATCTTTCATAGATCCTTACGTAAAGAAACACAGCATGCCACAGACGCCAGGGACTGGAGAAGGTACATACAGTAGTAGCAGAGGAACCAGGAAGGAAGGAAGTAGGAGGGAGAGGTGTGCACAGTCTTTGTCCTTCCTTCCTTCCTTCCTTCCTTCCTTCCTTCCTTCCTTCCTTCCTTCTTTTCTTCCTTCCTTCCTTCCTTTCTTCTTCCTTCTTTTTTCTTCATTCCTTTTTACCTCTCTCTACATGCATGTGTGTGTGCATGCGTGTAGCACACTAGTGTATGTGTGTATATATGTATATGTGCACATGTGAAGGCCAGAGGCCGATTTTGGGTGTCGGTCTTCAGGACCTATCTACCTTGCTTTTGAGAAAGGATCTCTCAGGGGCCTAGAACTAAGCCCCTGGAATCTGTTTGTCTATGCCTCTAGGAGCTGGGATTACAGGATCACATCATCACACCCAGTCTTTCATGCATGTGCTGGGGCCTGAACACAGATTCTTAGGCTTTTGTGGCAGATACGTTAGTGACTGAGTTACTTTCCTAGTACCCCACTGAGGTTCCTTCAGGTGTGAAAGGAGGGGGTGTGGGCTATGCAAGCTTAGGACTGGTTGGTTTCTTAAGTTGCAGTGGGCTCCAGGAAATAGCAGCTGGCTTCCTGGGGTGATCAGAACAGGGAATAGTAGCCCCAGGTGACAGTCCCACCAAGGAGACAGGAGGTGGGGTATGGCTCTGGAGTGGGTGGTTGACATAGAAAAGGCTCCTTGTAGCAAGATGTTTGCCATCTGTAGAGGCTAGCCCGCCTAGGAAAGTTTGTTCTCTCAGGACCGGCCGGGCACTGAGACTGGAATGCCTCAAATCGAGAAACGAGAAAACATGCTGCTCAAACTTCGGAACAGACACTATCCCAAAGGCTCCTTTCTCCTGCCTAAGCTTTGCCAGACAACTATGCAGACCTCAGAAAATTACCATCCTTAATTCCAAGAGAGGGATACAAGAGTAGAGCTTTCATGGGGCCTTGTAAGAAAGGCACAGGACATTAATATTTAGAGTTACAAGGAGAAGTGGCAAATAAACAAATGAGGTGGCAATATTATTTTTTATAAATCACACACAAACACACACACGCATGCACACACAAACAGACAGCAAAAGTGAACAAAAAGAGATTTCTTATTGATTTTGGCAAAGAGGACGAAAAGTTGGCCAAAATGAAAGCAATTATGTTCAGAACTATTTTGTCCTAGAAGGAGGTTATAAAGTGTTGTTGTTGTTGTCGTTATTTTTATTTCACTGTGGCAGGGTCTTGTGTAGCCCAAGTTGGCCTCAAACTCTATGTAGCTGACAATGGCTTTAAACTTCTGATATCCTCGTCTGCATTCTCAAGTGCTCGGATTACAGGTGTGCACAGCCACACTCAGTTTGCGCCGTTAAGGACTGAGCCCAAGGTTTTGTGCATGCCAGACAAGCACTCTAACAACTGGCTACACCCTCAGTCCCTATAAATGTAGCTTTTGAAATGCTGCTAGGATGATATTTGGACATTCTTAAAAGTAATGCCACTTTGGCTCAGAAATTTCACTTCTAGGAAATTATGAAGGAAGAGACAGAATACCAGACATCCCATGAAAATCAATGTGGTTGTCAGGGCTGTGCTTCCTGCTCAGTCAAAGCGTACATGTATTATATTTTTCTCAACACAGTGATGTCTATTCTAGAAGGTTTTGGGTTGCCACCTACATGGGGCTGTGTTAAGAGGTGGGGCTTGTGGCTCAGCCTTTAGTGCTTTCTGTGACTCCACATGAGCAAAGCATCACAAGTTTTGCTTGACTCAAATGTCACCAAGTATTTCCACTTGCGTCATCTCCATTAACCACAGTAGCTGCTCACAGCCCAAGGCACCTCGTTTCATAGAGGAAGGAAATGGGCTCATGAAAGGGAAGAGTTAAAATCCCTGGATACAAGTCATGGTGGGCTCAGGAAAACTCAGTCTGTTCGAATACAAGATCATCCCTCAGCCCAGAGAACTCCCACTGATTGGACTCCCGTCTTGTCTGACAGAGGTCCGGTTGAGGGATATCCAGATTGTCCTGTACCCTGACACCCTCCTCAGAGACTCTCTCCCTCCTGTGTGGACTCTAGCCAGGAGGGCTGATCTGGTGAGGCTGTCCTTGAGAACAGGAGTGTGTTCCAGACTTCAAAGCAAAAGTCAATTGATTCTAACACAGGGTGGCTTCAGATACTGTCTTCTGCCTGGTCCCCTGGGCTTGGGTCCACCTTGTCCTTGCCCAGGACCAAGAAAACACCGAACACCTTGGCACTGCTCTGCCAGTTAATGTCTAACTGAGGAATGTCTTGCTGCCAAAACGTGCAAAACAGAGACCTTGTATTTCCGGGCACAGGTGTGACCCCCAATGCCAATCATTTCGTGTCTCTAACTAGTAAGGAAAAAAAATAACAACAACAGCCTCATGGCTTGGAAAAGGTGAACTCTAATGCCAAAAGGAAAGAAAAATTCTACCCCCACAGAAACAATCTTAAGGAGCAGAAACAAGAGAATAATTAGAGGACAGAGTGCCTGCCAAGGGCAGATGTGTATATATTGATCAGAGGCACTTCCTTGTGAATGGACCAGTCTATTCTCTGGGGTTCAGGTATGGCTTCTCCTTTGTCTAATCCTACTCTCTTTCAGGGAGGAGGGAGAGGAAGGTTAGCACCTAGACACTGGGGTCAGAGCCCCTGGTTTCATTACCCCACTGATTATTAGCTTTATGGTCAGTGACATGTCAATCTCCTCCTCTTTGAGGCAGAGCTTTTGAAATAACCTTGCTAGCGATTTTTCTTTATTCCGTGATATTCCTGAAGCGTCTATTTTGTGCTATGTACTGGGGTTTAGCCGTGAGCAAAAATATCTGCTATATGCTGGGTCTTTGCATATGCCATTTTAATTAATCATGGGAATGCCATGGTGCTCGTTAAGCTACACCAGTGGGTTGCGAGGTCATGCGGCTTCTACTAGAGTTTTCATTTTATTGAATACACCTTGTCAGCAAGCAACATACATTGTAAGTATGAGTTGTTTTCTAAAATCTTTATTTCCTCTCTCTTTCTATGTCTGTGTGTGAGTGTGCATGAGGTTGTGCGTGTTTTATATCATATAGCATATCATATCTCAGACTCAGAGGTCTAGGAAACATTTGGTCCTTTTAAAATTATTTTTTATCACTTTTATTTATGTTTGTGTATGTGTGCCTTGCATGAATTTATGTTCAATATCATGGTAGGTGCACCCAGAGGCCAGGGAGTAGAGGGTCTCTTAGAACTGGAGTTACAGGCGGTTGTGAGCCACTGAGGTGGTGCTGGGCCGGGAGCAGAGAGCACTCCGTCTCCCCCAACCTGAGGACATTTGTTCTTGCACACAAGTTCCCTGAGCGCAGGAACTCCTTAGCACTAGGCCTGGCATTTCCTAGATGCCACTTGGAGGAAGATGCGGTCCCCCTCGAGTAGATGAGAACACTGGATTATATCACCCGGTGCCACAGCGCTGTGCTGAGTAACACGGGCACCGGGTTCCATTTCAGCTCAGCTCCCATGTCTAACCATCATGCCATCCTCGTTGCCGCTGTAAAACTCAGGGTGACACTTGCGTCCATCTAGAATTATTTTACCTGTTGCGTCACAAATAACCCTTTTGAAGATAGTGACCTGCGTTCCAGTTACATATGCGTATATGAAGTTAATCACCTCCAGAGCTCCTCATCTTCTGTCCTTTCTGTCCTTGAGTGGTGTGGCGAGTAGACTGCATTCAGTATTCTCCTTGGTATCTGGCTCCGTCTTTGGTACCTAGTAGCCACCCAGTAAATGGAAGTTTGTTGAGCAAATTGTAAGTTCAGGTGATCAAGAACCACCCATGGAAACCCAAAGATGCCTCTAATAAGGGGGTGAGTCCAGGGCACCAACTTTTTGCAACTTCTTTTGCCCTAAATAAAAGACTCAGTTCTTCAAAATGTGTGGTGCGTGGCCCTTAGGTAGATGCGCATGGAACGCTGGGCTTCGGAAACCCACCAAAACTAAAGCTACAGAACTGCATAGTCTTCCTTGTGCCTCTTGGCCTATATAAATGCTGTTTTCTGATCCATACAAATGGTGCATGACCAAAGCATTCCTTCTGACTGTAGGGAGGGGAGCTGGATCATGAATGTGCTTCACTCACCCCTGTTCTCGGGCTTTCAGGCATCAGAAACACAAGGGGAATCCCAAGTACGCAACCTATCCTCGCCTCTGGGCAGGTGTTTCCAGGTCCAGAGGTAGAGAGAGGGCAGAGGAGAAAGGATGGGACAGCTGCTCTCTTTGACCTGGATGCTGGTGGTATTGGTGATAACCCCTTGGTTCACTGTAGCTGGAGCCAGTGACTCATCAGAATCAAGTAAGTGTGTGTGTGTGTGTGGGGGGGGGGATGTAGACATGTTCCCTTTGCAGAAACAATCTTAAATCTGTCTCTTAGCGCACTTGACGTGATCTTTATTCTAAGCCTGTTTTGCGGATTGTGCTGCGCACAGGACTCACTTGGAAGCTGTGTTAAGATGCAAATCCTGCTTTAGCAGGCCTAGCGAGGGGCCTGAGACTGAATCACTAACAACGCGTGGGTGAGGCTGATGTCGGGGCAATGGTATAGGACATCTCGGAATCCTTCCTGCACGTCACTATAAAGTCACAAACATGTCCAGATCGGTAGGAGATCGGACCCCCGACCCCAGGTGGCTTGCAGGCCCCTCTCCTTTTAAGTGTGAGGTTATTCCGTGAGGGGAGCATCGCCTTCCATCGTAGAGCAACATTAAATATAACTGTGGGGTCGTGGTTAAAAGCACATGTTCTGTGCTCTTGCCATGCGTGTGTGTCCTGCTTGACAATTTTCAAGGGGCTAACTCCTTCTGAATCCCAATGCTCTTTTCTGTAAATAAAAAAATAAAAGTGGGTGTCAGGGGACCCCATTGGGAAGGATTCAGTGAGCTGCGGAATGAAAAGGGCCCATCTTTTTGTCAGACATGGAGTAAGTGACAGTATGTGAGGCTGAACAGCAGCTCTTTTCCTTTTACTGTTAAAAGCCAAGTGTGAGTGTCCTGTCAAATGGGCTGGGAGGTCTTCAGAGGGAAGAGACAGGATCTTGGTGAAGGCTGCATAGTCAGAGAAAAGGCCCTGGGCAGAAGGCACAGAGTGTGGAAAGTCTGGGAAGGGGTGGCAGGTTAACTCTCCATCCCTCACGAGTATTAATTAGAAATGTTGTGTGTTATGCCCTTGGATGCGACAGCACGGCCATTTGAAAAGAAGGCGCCATGTGAAGGCCATGCTTAACTAGATGAAGAGAGGAATCCACTCGGGGAGCTGGATGGGTGGCTTTCTAAGTTACATCAAGGTAACGAGGTCTGTGCCGGAGCATCCGCCCAGCAGCGCGGGTTCTGAGGCTGGGCTCTTCCGTCCGCAGGAAAGTGTTCTGAATGCCACAGCAACGCTACCTGCCAGGAGGATGGGGTGGTCACGACGTGCTCCTGCCAGGCGGGCTTCACCGGCGACGGGCTGGTGTGCGAGGACCTGGATGAGTGCGCCACCCCGCAAACTCACAACTGCTCTGCCAACAGCAGCTGCGTGAACACGCTGGGCTCCTACGAGTGCTCCTGTGGCGACGGCTTCCGTCTGACGCCTGAGCTGGGCTGCACGGACGTGGATGAGTGCTCGGATCAGGGACTCAATAACTGCCACGCCCTGGCCACCTGTGTCAACACAAAGGGCAACTACTCGTGCGTGTGTCCCGAGGGCTATAGAGGGGATGGTTGGCACTGCGAGTGTTCCCAGGGCACCTGTGGGCCAGGGCTGGACTGTTTGCCCCAGGGCCCGGATGGGGCACTGGTGTGCGAGGACCCCTGCCATGTGCATGAGACCCTCGTCGATTACTGGCGCAGCACGGAGTACGGTTCCGGCTACTCCTGTGACACAGGCCTGCACGGCTGGTACAGGTTCACGGGCCGGGGTGGCGTGCGCATGGCTGAGAGCTGCGTGCCGATCCTGCGCTGCAACACGGCTGCACCCATGTGGCTGAATGGCTCGCACCCGTCGAGTGGCCAGGGCATCGTGAGTCGCACGGCCTGCGCTCACTGGAGCGGCCACTGCTGCCTGTGGTCCACAGAGGTGCAGGTGAAGGCCTGCCCAGGCGGCTACTATGTCTACAACCTGACGGAGCCTCCAGAGTGCAATCTGGCTTACTGCACAGGTAAGCCCCGACACCCTCCACCCCTTAGTCTGCAGGGGTCTCGAGGCACAAGCTGTTTGACCGTTACGTGTTGATAATGTTGCAGATCCTAGCTCCGTGGAGGGGACTTGCCAGGAGTGCAGGGTCGATGAGGACTGCATATCGGATAACGGCAGGTGGCGATGCCAGTGTAAAGAGGACTCCAACATCACCGGTAAGGCCCCTGGGCGGATATCAGAGGACGACTTGCGGAAGTCGGTCCTGGTTTTCCACCCTGTAGGTCTGGGGATCAAACTCGGGTAGTAAGGCTTGTCAGCAAACACCTTTACCCACTGAGCCATACAGCAGCCCCCAAACACTTGACTAACAGGGAAAACTTCTTAGCTATCATTGCCCACTCCAAACTCTGAGCCGGCTCTTCTTCTAAGAGGGAAAGTAACCAGCATACGACGGCATCAGTCCAAGGCATCTTAAAGTGACAGCATCTGGCGGCCAGCCCAGCAAGCATGCCGGGTACCTGGAAACATCCCTGGCCCAGAGGCATAGGCCCCTAATCCTGTTGTTCCTGGCCATTTCAGATGTCTCCCTCCTGGAACACAGGCTGGAGTGTGGGGCCAATGACATCAAGATGTCCTTCAGCAAGTGCCAGCTGCAGAGGCTGGGCTTTATGAAGGTCTTCATGTACCTGAGTGACAGCCACTGCTCAGGCTTCCATGAGAGGGGTGAACGAGACTGGATTTCCGTGGTGACCCCTGCCCGCCATGGTTCCTGTGGGACAGTGTTGAGAGTAAGTTCTGCCAGTGGTGACAACAGGGTTGGAGTGGTGTCTATTTAAGGCCCCAGTCCATCCGGGTTATGAGCTTTGGGTGAGTTGTTTGACTTTTCTGTAAGGTGGATTAAATTGATTCATGTGTCTGAAGTGAGCTTGAGCTATTAAGGATGGTCCCCCATTTCACAGATGGCAAAGGTAGGGCTAGGCTGGCAGTGATGGCTTCCAGCCACTAAGAAACCAAAGGCAAGCCTGTCTGTGTCCAGGGATCCTGCGAAGAGCCTCACCCCCAGAGACCTTTGCAGAGATCAGCACGTAAATTTTTGTGTGGCTGGCGCCTCGCTTCCTCCTGCCTCCTTCATCCCTGGAAGGAAAATGGGAAGGAGCAAAAGGAAAGGAGGAAAGGAAGAAACTGCCATGTGTCAGGGATGATATGAAATGAAATTAGGGATAGCTTGCATTTTCAGTTCTGACGAGAAGTCCTGCAGTTTTGAAACTAGCCCAGGCTGTGTAGATCCCATGCTCTGCGGGGACATCCTCAGTTCTCAGAGAACTGTGGACCTCCATTCCCTCATCCGTGAAGCAGGGCTTCAGCAGCCCTGCCACTTTAGGCCATTGGAAGCATTGGTGGAGTGAGGCCGGAGGAGAATGTAGGTCAGAGCATGACATCTGCTCCAAAAATCACCGCTGTTGTAACACACAGACTGGGAGGACAACTTTCAGGTGTCCACAGACAAACTCACTGGCTATAAAACCCTGCTGAGGGTCTGCTCAGGTCTGTCTCATCAGCCTTTCTCCCACTTCTCTTCCCCTGATACAGACGAATGAAACTCATGCCACCTACAGCAACACCCTCTACCTGGCAAATGAGATCATAGTCCGGGATGTCAACATCAGATTCAACTTCGAATGCTCCTACCCCTTGGACATGAAAGTCAGCCTGAAGACATCCCTACAGCCCATGGTCAGGTGTGGCCATCAAGGGGCAACAGTGTTCCTGGGGGATCCACCTACAACTCCTCACCCCCCAAACCCCTCACACCTTTAGCCCCTCTACCTCTCATCTCAGCCCCACAACCCCCTAAGCCCTTTACTCCCTCACTCCCTCAGCCTCTCACCCTTCACCCCACTACCCCCACATCCTCTCATCTCCTCAGTCCATCAGCCCTGTAGCCCCTCAGCCTCTCACCTCCTCAGCCACTCACGCCCTCACCATGAGATCTTCATGAGATCTTGACAATGGGCACTGGCTTTGCTCTCTAGGAGGCAGTATACCTAATGAGGAATCCCAGAACCCAGGTTCCAACCCAGGCTCTGCCATATATTAACTGAATAGCTTTGGGGAACCCATATCCACCATCTAACTGTCCCCCTCTCCCCCATCTGCCAAGGAGCCTTTATAATACTTCCACTGCATTTCTTAGGACAGTGACATTCTACAAAGGTGAATAAAATACCAGCCTCTGTTTTTTTTTTTTTTTCAGAAGGATTGGGTGGTCCTGCTTCTGGAGGGGACTCTGTGCCATCATATCTCATATTTAGATCTCACTTTCCACCCCTCTCTAAACTGAAGACATCTGATTAAAGAGGCATTTACAAATCGTGTTCTTCAGAGGTGGCTTGTTAGGGTGGAAAGCTAGCTGGAGAGGTGAACCAGGGAAACTCCATCCATTTTGGTGGAAAAATAATTGAATCCCATTACTAAATAAAATTGTAAGTCTTTGAGTATGATGAGTCACAGGCCACTGATACTTACGCTGAGCATTTGCTGTAGGCCACACCTCATGTTTTCTTTATAGGAAACATCTCATTAGGGTATCACAGCAGCATCTCTAAAGCAGTGGTTTTCAACATCCCTTATGCTGTGACCCTTTAATACAGTTCCTCATGTTGTGGTGACCCCAACCATAAAGTTATTTCATTGCTACTTCATAACTGTAACTGTGCTACTGTTATCAATAATAATGTATATGTTTTTGGAGACAGAGGTTTGCCAAAGAGGTCACCACCCATAGGTTGAGAACCAGTGCCCTCGAAGACACAGACTCTGGGAAGGGTCCCGGGCTGATGTGTCAGACTTGCTTGTTCTGGGCTATTGGATGGAGTACTACTTGGCTAGGCAGTGCCCTGGGGTAATGTGGCCATATCCTAGGCTTGCCTTCAAGGTGCCAGAGAGCAAACCTCCCTGGGGTTCAAGGAAGCTTCAGCCTGTTCCCTGCTGTGAAGTGACCTCTGGATTGCTGAGCATTTCTCATGTGCCTTATTTTGTGTGACCCCAATCTCTCTGTGTCCTTTAAGAGACCATGCAGTAAAATTTCCACCAGTGTGAGTATGTGGATTAAAACCCACCCATTTATGAGACCCAGTCTGATGTGGGTATTGAAAGGAACATTAAGACAGTTCCTCAGAACTCAAGTCTGCAGGGCTCCTGCCTGCTCATCTCTTTCTGCCCGTTGAAGGTTGAGATTCAAGAGGTCTAGGCAGGTCCCCCTGAGAATTTGTCCCTTTTTAAAGGATGGTAGCAAGGGGGTACCAGCAGTGCCCTGCACATGTGGCTCAGGGTATGGAGCTGTGGTATCAGCATCATTGGGAGCCTGTTAGGGATGTAGAAACCTGAGTGCCACCTCAGACCTGCCCAGTCAGAGCCTGAGAGACCCCTGTGCTCACTGCAGTTTGCAAGCAGTTCTGAGGGATCCCGCCCTGCTCCTGAATGAAAATGCCAGATAACTTCAAGGAACTTCCCTCCCGAGAATGCCGTCCATTAAAGATCTGTGAATGCTCTTGACCTGGTCCTCTGACCAGCTCTTCTTCCTCTCTAGTGCTCTGAACATCAGCTTGGGTGGGACAGGCATGTTCACCGTGCGGATGGCGATGTTCCAGAGTCCTACCTACACGCAGCCCTACCAAGGTCCCTCTGTGATGCTGTCCACTGAGGCTTTCCTGTACGTGGGAACCATGCTGGATGGGGGTGACTTGTCCCGGTTTGTACTGCTAATGACCAACTGCTATGCCACACCCAGTAGCAACTCCACAGACCCCGTGAAATACTTCATTATCCAGAACAGGTAAAGCAGTGGGTCCTATTTGGGGGCTCATGGATGGGATCTGGGGGGATGTCTTTAGAATTAATGGGAGAAATACATCTTCATGGTCCTGTAGGTCACTGACCTATAGTCCTGACCCACCCAGGATACAGGCAAAAAGCCATGGAAGGGTCTGAGAATGCAGAGCTCTACCTATGCTATCCAGTAGTTTTTAGGTGTTATTTCACTAGATATTAATATGTGATGCATTATAATATTCTTGGAAATAGGTAAAACACATATCTAAATGCAATAAAGCATTGTATTTGGAGAGGGTTTTGTATGTTCCCTGGAGGGCCAAGTGGGCGGTCCTGACGGAGAAAATGTAAGAAATCTGATGGAAAGGCAGTGTCAGAGCAGCAGCAGGGAGAAGGTGGCTGGGAGAGCAGGGGGTGGGCGTGGTCAGCAGTTGAAACTCTGAGGGCACTGGTGCGACGTCCCTTCCTTAAGAGGCCTTAATTAAGCAGATATTTTGAAAGTTTGCTCGTTACCAGGCTTTCACGGATACGGTGCTGAAAGGAGGAGAAGAAAACCTCCACCTCGTACAGTTTAAATCCTGAAGGCAAGACAGACAATTAAACAAAAGCTAAAAAGCCCCTTGGGTGAATGGAATGGAGGAAGGAGAAGCTTTGTTGCCCATGGCGTAGGGAGGAAAGGCACTTCCGAGAGGCCTTGACCTGTTCTTCCCTGAGGATGGTCCTTAGAATCAGCCTGACTACCTAAAAGATACATGAGCAGTCAGGCGCTCACCAAATATTTACCTTCTGTTTAGAATATCCCTTTGCAAGAAAAGAGAAGAATGCTTTAGAATTTCTTAATATTAACACTGTCCCACTAATATCCGGTAGCTCTCGTGTTTACCTTGTTCTCGTTTGTAAGATTTCTTCTGTTTACAATGCAAGTGATACGAAGCAATCGCTGTATGTGCCCACGATCTAAATGTCTGCAGAAATGTATCATAAGAAAGAAAAAAGGATTAAGTAAACAAAAATACAGATGTTGGGACGCACAGGCAAGCGTGGTATCAGAGAGGTGGTATCTAAATAAGGTGAAAAGGTTGGAATTAGGACAACGTTGATGTAAACTTGACATTACATTATTAGGGCATTAGAATGACACGAGTGCCATCCTTGGCTTTTTCATTTACTCATTCTGAGGTGCAAGTCAGTGCATGCACTTTGATGTTCATTTTCTCAAATGCCCCATGCTCTGCAGGGTCCCTACATTATTTTCCCTGAGTATAAAATTGTGGTGTGCATGTTCTGGAGAAAGTGGAAAGAAATGTGGCTGTGTAGCTGTGTCTCTGGGTGTGTGTATGAGGAAGTGGACCTAAGTATAATGAGTCAAGGAGAAGTGTTGCTACATCACAAGACAGGAGAAAAGTTGTGGACAATGAGGGTGACCAGAGGGGACACTAGGATTGAATATTGGGGTTGACTATTGGGGCTGTCACGAGCTGCGATGAATATGGATTTCCCTTTTGGAATGGGTTACTACTTAATTTCAAGTCCTTCTTTCTCGTTCTCTTCCTCTTCTTCTTCTTCTTCTTCTTCTTCTTCTTCTTCTTCTTCTTCTTCTTCTTCTTCTTGTTCACTGTTCTTATTCTTCTTGTTGTTCTTTTTGTTCTTGTTCTTCCCCCTCCTCTTCTTCTTTTATTTTTCTTCCTTCTCCTCCTTCTTCTCTCCCTCCTTTCTCCTCCTCCCTTACTTATACTCCCTCCTTCTTCCTCTTCCTTTTTTGTCAAATAGAGTTTGAGATGCTAGGATTGGATCTGACTTACAGTGGATATATAGCAGAGTGAATGCCACACTGAGTGATCCTTTCTCTGTCCTTTAAATTACATTATATTTTCTAAATAATCTATGAGCAAATGTGAAATGAAACAGGAGTGTCCACTTCAAAGCCCAGAATGCGCAGCACATATGTGATCCTCTGTGTGTTGGTTTATTTCTCTTGGCAGCTGTGCTTGTATGCCATTTCATGCATTGTGGATGGGCATACACACCTCTGTTGGGCCAGTGGCTGCCAGGATTCCCTGTTTTTTGCTGTTATGACAGGCACATATTCAACAGCATAAAATAGCTAATGACTCTTCAATATAGTTCCTTGGAAGTGAGAAATTTCTGACTTCATGAATTGTTCCAACTCCGTGGTTGAAGACTTTTATTGTTTTTCTTCAGCTCTAGACACGGGCAGCACCTACTGTGTGCAACACTCTGTTCTAAGCACTTTGAAAAAAACAATGAAATTAATCCTCACAATTATTTTTGACGTGGGCTATAATTATTACTCTCATGTGCATATGGAGAAACTGAGGTACGGAGAGGTTTAATGGGCTGCCCAAAGTTACACAGCTAAGAGGTGGTGATGTGGTATTTAAGCCGAGGAAGTGGACTCCTGAGTCTTTGATTACCTAACCCCCTCATATGTCTTCGTGTTTCCCATTCAGATGTCCACACACAGAGGATACAACCATCCAGGTGGTGGAGAATGGCGAGTCCCCTCAGGGCCGATTTTCTGTTCAGATGTTCCGGTTTGCAGGAAATTACGACCTTGTCTACCTGCATTGTGAAGTGTACCTGTGCAACACTCAGAATGAAAAATGCAAACCCGTGAGTCATGCACCCACCATAACAGCCTTCTGGAACACTCATCTCTATCATCAAGACATTTGGCCACAGGCATAAAGGAAGACATGCACTTGTGGTATTTTTCTGTCTTAACACAAGGGCACAGAGCTGCATGACAGATTGGGCAGAGCCAGTCAGGACACCTGGTCTACCTGGCAGTTAGGAAATGGTGGCAGCAGTCTCGGGGAGCTTGCCTGATAAATTGGCCTTATTTGCAAGCTGCAAGCTTATCTCCCAATAACAGGAGCTAAGCCTTCAGCATCGAGTGCAAATCAGGTGTTTTAATGTATTCAGGCATCACAAAAATCAAGGGAAGTGCACAGCTCACTTTCTCAACTGGAAAAGCTCAGAGAGCTTAAGTGATGTTCCCACAATCACAGTAGGGGGCTGGGCTTGGATGTGAGCTGCTATGTCCTGCCTGAGGCAGGGGGAACGCTCTTCTGACCTGGCTGCCCACTTCTCGTGCGCGGTTCACGTTCTGCCTTCCTCTCCACACGTGAGTGGTTTTCTGTTATTCTTCCCCTGCAGGCCTGCTCTGGTACTCGATTTCGAAGTGGGAACGTCATAGATCACACTCGTGTCCTGAACTTGGGTCCCATCACACGACAAGGTGAGAGATCTACTCTTCCATCATGCCTCTGAGTGGGGAAGAGGCAAGGTGGGCAGAACCTGTCTCCTTGGGTCTCACTGGGAACTGAAGAGTGAGGAGCAGTGGATTCTCTGTGGCAAGAGGGGCTATCTGCTGCCTTGTTCTTTTGCCAGCTGGAGCGCATTCATTTCTTCATTCATCCACTGCAGAGACATGCTTTGCTGGTTACTGTGGTTTAATGTCTTGTGATAAGCAGAACAGGTCTGATACCTTGGATCTGATGAACTAGTCGGGGAAATTGTGTCATGTCGATGTGTAGAACTGCAGTTGCCTCATGCAGGAAGAAAGTGTGCACAGTTTGGAGCTGTTCTGATGTAGGAACCAAACGCAGGGTGGGTGATGGAGGAAGACTAAGGAGAAGCCAATCTGTTAGGAGAACTGAGGGAAAGTGATAATGGCTAACCTAGTGTAGGTGTGGCTCCTGTGGGGCTTTGGCGATCTTGGTAGGTTTTAAGCCTTTCTTCTAAAGGCAATAGGTATGGGGCGTTAGAAAGATCCAGCGAAGGAGGGTGGTGTGACCAGATTTGGGTTTAGAAAGATGACCTTGACTGTACAAGTGGGGGGAGCTCATCTCAGCCACAGGCCTCACTTCTCATGGATCTTCTGTTTTCCCCAAAGGTGTCCAGGCCCCCGTGTCCAAGGCTGCTTTCAGCAACTTGAGTAAGTTTAGGTCCTTTCTCTACAGTTATCTGCTCCATGACACTCTTCTGTGGCTTCTAGCTGGGGTCTGAGTGGGCTGGAGGGCATAGCCTTCAGAGCCTGAGCTGCCAAGAGGTGATTTGTGTTGGAAATGTCTGGATGTTGGTCTGCACGCACGAACACACTCGTGCTGTCTCTCAGTAGTGTTGGGCATGACCCAACAGTCCAAGAGAATGCAGTGTCCTGGTATGTTTGCACAAACGCTCATACCTGTACACAGGTTTCACCACAGTTAAGTCTGCATGCATATTTATCCATATCTGCATACACACAGATCACACACATTCCTATATGCACATACATATTCAGATATGCACGCACAAACAACTCTCTCTCTCTCTTCTCTCTCTCTCTCTCTTGGTTTTTCCAAGACAGAATTTCTCTGTGTAGGCTTGGCTGTTCTGGACTCACTTTGTAGACCAGACTGGCCTGGAACTTACAGAGATCCACCTGCCTCTGCCTTCCCAAGTTCTGAGATCACAGGCGTACACCACTGCACCGCACAACTCTTATATCTGCACACAAACAACATATTGATGCTCATATGCACAGAGAACATACATTCACACCTGCACACACATTCATGGGCTACAGATCACACACACTCACATCTGCACATGGATCGCACACATTCACGTCTGAACACACAGACCATACACACTCGCGTCTGTACGCATATATGCATATACAGATATCAAACGTTCATATATGCACATTCTGATCACACACTTTCGCATCTGCACACACAGATCACACATGTTCATGTCTTTTTGCACAGATGTACACACAGCTGCAGTGCATGCAGGTGTGTTTGCTGCTCAGACATCCACATACATTTGTTACAAACATGTTCCCCAAGGACATGCACAGCCGCCCTGTCCTGTCCTTGGCACTTCCTGAGGCTGAGGCACATCTCTGACACCTTCTGGCGCTGCTCCACAAGCTACAAATATTTGTTGAGGGCCATTGTTTTCCAAGAACCAAACTTAGTAGTGCATTGAGCACACTAGATAAACAAGAAACTCCATTTATTTTTTTTCTTCAAGCCCCAGACCACAAAAGCCAGGGACTGGTGGCATTTTTGTGGCCCTTTTCTTATGCCTGTTGCCTTACTTGACACTCCAAATGAAAACTGAATCCACATAGCCATTGCCTTTCTTGGCTTATGAAACCTGGATCTAAGAGGGTCACTACAGTGAGCTGGTGTTTGTTCTAAGTTCTGTACTGCTGGGCTACTCCAGGAGACACTACTGCCTTTTTCAAATCAGTCCACACGGAACGGAACCTTTATCTGTTTTCACACTCAGGAGCAAGCTTCTTCTAACTGCCTAGTCCAGAGAGGGCAGCCTTCTTCCCAGACTAGTCTGTAAGAAAGTGTCTTAGGTTACTTTGCACAAAAGCACACCAGCCCTTGCCATGACTCTACATTTGTTTACCTTTCAGGGCTCCTGAGCGTCTGGCTGTCAGTGCCTCTCTCAGCCATTTTGGCTCTGAACTTTCAGTGATGGACAGCAGGAAACCTGCTCTGTCTCTCAGCTCTCTTCCTGCTGGCCAGGAGGGGAGATGCAGCCTGGTTTCCAGCCGCAGGAGAGGGAGCTCACACTGCTTACTCTCTTTAATCCTCACTTATCAAAACCAAGTTGGTACCTTTCAATGCTGCTCTTTCTCCAAATGGGACTCATGATATGTCCGTACATGAAGCCCCTGCCTCCTTAAGGGATGTGGCAAAATAATAATTCTAACTCATAAGCTTTTGGAGTCACTAATTCAAATCATCAATGAGCACACAGTTGCTGTGGGGACGGTTTGTTATGATGAGCATCGTGAGGTGGGAGTAAAACAGACTCTTTCCCTATGTTTATGGACTTTGCAGTCGCTCCAAAAAACTGGGCTCAATAAATGTTCTTCAACAAGTGTCTGAACTTCACCTGTCCATAAATACATTCGTTCTTTCATTCAGTAAATATTTACCAAGCTGTTCCTGTGCTAGTTGTTAAGATATTCTGGGGATCTAACAGGGAGCATAGGCAGTGAGACATTCTAAAGTCTGCCTGGGACCCCAGAAGTGGAGAGTTTGACAGCAGGAGGTGGCTGATTCTTTGCAATGGAGGCAACCGTGATGCCTCTCACAAGGCACATTTGGTCTTCCAGAAATGGACTTTGAGGACTCCACATGTTCTAGGCCTACCCTGGGTGCTGAGAAACACTGGCAGATGAGACAAAGCCAGCCCCTGACTCGGGATTATCAAGTTTTAGAGAAGAGATGTAGAAGCAATAACAGGTGTCTTGTGGCTCCCTCCTGCTCATTGGGCTTCTACTTGCCAATCCTCAAGTTATAGATCTTTTCTCAGGCCTGGGCAGGAGAGAGGAGAGCACACCCACCTCCCCTTCCATTGGGAGAGAGTCGTTGCAGAACTTTGTACATGAACAGGAACCACATACTTTCTACATTCAGAGAGCCCAGAGATCTCTAGACCAAAGGTCACCAATGCTGATGGGAACTCTTTTTTCTGACCCAGCTGCTTCCCTGGAACTTTCCAGGAGAGGCCAAGGCCTCACATCAGATCCCAGGGAAAGTCACACTTGTGGGTCTGCAGGAAGGAATGCTGGGACAGTGTGTCTCATGTTAAGAGAGTGCTTATCACACAAAGACACACACAGAATGTGCAGATCTCTTGCTGTTACACAAGAGCTATACAGATGGCCCACAGGCTGGCCCAGTGCTATCCCATCCACAGTCAGTCTGTGGTCACCTTGGACCAAGTGACTTCATGCAGCATGGTATGTGTTGTGACATAGTAGCAGCAGAAGTTGAAGAGAAGGTCTGGGCCAGGAGAATCAAGAGCAGGAGCTAAAGACAAAGACTGGGTGATGGGCAGAGGAGAAACGTCACAATGATGTCTTTGCCCCTTTCTTGTCTTTTCCTTTCTTGCTTTTTATCTGCAAGCCACACAGCTTAGTGTATCCCCTAGAGATTCTGGGCACAGTATGAGGAAATAGCAGATTACTAAAACAGCCAGTTTGGTAACGAAGATGCTTTGAAATAATAACCATGAAATGTGACAAATGGTGACAATCACCTGGCGGGGGGAGGAGAGGACAGGCATAATAGGGTACTGGAGTGCTATTTCACATAAAATGACAGGGTGTAGTCTCTTTGACAAGCAGAGGCTGAGAGTAGAAAGGAACAGCACATCCTACTGGGGACAGGTAGCTGAAACAGCAAGTGCAAAAGTCCTTGAACTTGTGCCTTTCTACAAGGCTGACTGACACCTGGACATTGGAAACCCAACTCACTAGAGAAGGCCTAGAATATACATTTGTTTTTCTCAATTTGTTTATTAAACAAATATGATCGGAAGGGCTGATCACAAAGCACCTATAGGCTCGATGCGCAGATTAGTTATCAGGCAAATGAGTGTGATTAGAGCCATCCTGGAAAGGCCTGGAGCAGAACAGAGGGCCAGGCAGAATGTGGCTTTAGGAAAAGCTTTCTGGAAGATACGGTAAACATGGAGCAATCTAGGTAGGGGGAAGATTATGCTAACATTTGGGGGTGAGAAGGAATTCAGAGAATCTTGCATTAGCAGAAGCAGAACTGGTATGTACAGTGATAATAAAAGTAGGAAGTGTAAACAGGGTCAGATTCCCTGGGGCATAGGGTTCTGGGAGCAGGGGATTTCATAGGGTACAGGGAAACCAGCAGAAACAAGGGAGACAAGAACAAACACTGAAACCACCCTTTCACAAGATGGCGACCTAAACTTCACTTGGCGAAGTAGAAACAAATGAAGAAGAGGGCATAGAGTCAAGGCATTGGATATATAGAAGGTTGAGGTGTGGAACTTCCTGGACTAGCGGCCCTGGACTAGAGGCCCAAGGAAAGAGTCAAGCCTCCAGGTTGGAAGACTGGAGAAGTGCTGCCATCGACCAAGGTGGATAACGAACACAGGGAGAGGGAGGAAGTCAGAATGGGAGCTGTTGAGTTTGAGGGACCTCAAGTGTCTGAACCCAGGAGGAGAAGCCACCGCAGGACCTGAGGACTGGCTCAGGAGAGTCATCCAAGCTGGGTTAACCTGTGAGTGAATTTGAACTTCTGTACTATAGTTTGAATGTGAAATGGTCTTCACAGACCCTTCTTTCTAGCATTTGTTCCTCATCTGCTGGTGCTATTTGGGATGCTGTGGAGCCTCTAAGAGGTGGAGTGCAGTTGGCAGAAGCAGATCACTCGGGGCAGGCCATTCAAGGTTGGGCGTGACCTTGCTTCCTGTATTGCTCTCTACTTCCTGGGCTTTCATGATGTGAACATCCTCTGCCACACACTCCCACTGCCATGAAGGAAACTCTATGCTATGCTCTCTGCCATGATTAGACTGAAGTCCTCTCTTCCGGTTGGTTTTCTGTCAAGTTGATACAACCTAGATAGAGTAAGTTATGGGGAAGAGGAACCTCAGTTGAGAAAATGCCTCTGTAATATTGGCTGGGAGAGGGAGAGTCCACTGTATTTAAGAGTGGAGCCCCTGCTAATTCAACTACACTCCAGAGGAACTGCACACATCCAAGAATATGTGGGCAGTACAAACTGGCCGGGGGGGGGGGCGACAAAAAGTTGGATGATAGGGAACAATGGCTTTAGATATTGAAAGACTTGGAGAAGGGACTGAATATGGGCCAAACTCTTAAAGCCTTTTTCACAGTCCCGTGCCTTCTAAGGCCTAGGCTAATCCGCTTATTTTGAGGACTTGGAGGAGAGGCTATATTGATGCTGAGTCATCATTTCCAAATATTTCCTCAGAAACCGGGTAAACTCCATGGCTTAAGAATGGGAAGCTCAGCAGGGTGCGATGGTGCATGCTTGTAATTCCAGAACTCAGGGAGGCAGAGGCAGGTGGTTCTCTGTGAGTTCAAAGCCAGCCTGGTCTACAAATTGAGTCTAGGATAGCCAAGGCTACACAGAGAAACCCTGTCACTAAAACAAAGAACGGGAAGCTCTCCACCCTCCTTCCTTCATTCTCTCATGCTCCCTGGCCCCAAGTGAGTCAAGCAGAAGTGTTCTACTTCAATCAGCCAGGAACAGGAATCACGCTGGACATCTGCTGAGCAAACAAGCCTATTTGGTTTCTGTCTACTTTCCTTTGGGTTATTTTGCTTCCTTCTCATTAATTTTTGCTCTGTGGAAATAAACATGCCATCGGCTTTGTGGGTTTATTGGAGGATTAGATGTAAGGAATAATGATTGCAAGGTATTGGCAGCGCCTGGTGTAGCCAACCTTAAGTACATACTGCAGTTGCTTCCTGAGAAACATTCGTGTGAAACAGAACCTTCTGGAAGAGTTTCCATGTGGCTGTCACGTAAGCCCTTCTTTCACGGCCCCTTACGGTAAATGGCTTATCTTACCTACGTTCAACAAGTCCTGGTGCCTGGGTGCTTAGTGCCAGTCCTACCTCAGCACCAATCTCGAAGAGCCACATGGGCGGGGAGTGTCAGTATAAAGGAGGCAGACAGCAGGGCATGTTCCCACGCTGGGCAGAGGAAGAAGAGGGTCTGGGTTCTTCTCTCAAGGTAAGTCCTGCTCCAGGGCCCAACGAGGAGGTGAGTTTCATTCTCTTTATCGACCGGACCTGCTAGGGCCATCTGCAAGCTTTCTGAACCCAGGAGTAACTCTGGACTTTAACCATTGACAAATGTTCCCCAAACCACTCAGTGGTCCCAGTTGCCTGCTGGCTGTGGCCAGCTTATAGATGACATCCTTTTTCTTCCCACTAAGAAGAAGTCATGGGTGTCCACTCGGGTTGGCGTCTCTAACACCATAGTCCTGGGTACCCCTCTGTCTTTGTTCTCTCATAATGTAACCATAATACCCCACCAGAAACAGGTTTTCAGACCCAATTTACATCTTTTAAAGGCTGCAAGAAATCACCCAGAGGTCCCCTTTCACGGCACAGAAAGGCAAATGTCACCTGAAGTTGGCAGGCATTTCTTATACCTATTACTTACTTCTTTGCTTGCTTATTCATTTATTAATTATTTCATCATATATAGATATTTTTTTAAACTGGGAAGCCAGTGTATTCCATCTTCTGTGCTGGGAGAAAGGGCCTTAGAATTCACTCTGACAGAGTGCTATGCTTGTGAAATCCCAGAGGGTCTTAGCGGGACCTGATGCATATAATCAAAATAGACAGCATTCTTATTCATAGTTACTGACAATCACTGGAATTCTTGCCTTCAGTTTCCAAAGAGTGTCTACTTCCACCTGTACAGGGGCTTTCCGAGTGCAGCTCAGGGACATTCTGCAGCACTGACCCACCTTTGGCTGGATTTCTATGGATTTCATCTTGGAAAGCCCCTACTCCTAGCCCACTCCATTTCTGCACATCATGCCAGCAGTTTGGATTCTGAGAACCTGGACCTATTGCCATATGTGGGCTATGTTATGTTCATAACTGCAGAGAAGCAGCTGTATAAATATTGTTTAGACTAATGTACTCTTGAAACTAAACAAAATGGGAACTGTAACAGTGGTTCAGAGACTTAAGTAAGACAAACCATGCAAGGGGCACCAAGCGAATAGAGTCACATGATAGGTGCTGAACTGATGATATGAGTTTCAACCTTACCCCTGGGCTCAGAGGTCTGTTGGCTTGTCCTGATGTGAGCCTTTCCTTTTCCATAGTTGCATGGAGAGTCTGCAGGGTGCAGAGTGACCTGCAAACCTCACTTTACGCAAAGGATGGTGGGCCGTGACTTGTTGTGGCTGGCTGTGGCCTCCTGCATTCTGACACTGGTATCTCCATCTACAATACAGCAAGGTGAGTGTCTGCTCTCCAGGGATCTCAGGTACTCATCAAGACCTAGGGAAGGAGCAGAGGGACTGAGGAGAAAAGGCTGCTCAGGTTGGTTCCAGGAACAGGGAATTGGAAGCAAAGAGTCAGGGCTAGAGAGCAAGCGAATCATCAATCTCCCAGAGCCTGGAAGGGCAGGGGAGCAAGGATCTTAGATTCTGCAGCCCCTCTCAGGAGGTGATTAGAGAGCACAGACCAAAAGGTAGGGAAGATCATCCTGTCACCTTGTTTCTCCTTCTCAAGTTGCTCATCTGTAAAAAGAAGGTGGTAGATTTAACAATATCTATATGTTCTAAAGATCTCTCTCAGTCTCTCTATCTCTGTCTCTGTCTCTTTCTCTGTCTCTGTTTGTCTCTGTCTCTCTCTCTCTCTGTCTCTGTCTCTGTCTCTGTCTCTCTCTCTCTCTCTCTCTCTCTCTCTCTCTCTCTGTGTGTGTGTTTTGCTGGCTCTCAATTCTCCTGCTCTGGCCTCCAGAATGCTGGGATTAAAATGGTGTTTCACTACACCCAGCTTCTAAGATCTGCAAATGGGAGCAATCCAGACAGTTGTAGAAAAAAAGTTTCCAGCTAAGGGTGTAAATGTGAGCGCCATGGTTGGAGGCTGGGAGGAAAGCTGAGCTCTTCCTCCCATGGGAAAGCACAGGGTGTGTGGGAAAGGATCCAAGAATAACAAGGACCACGATTCCTGTCCTTAGAGCAAACACATTCATGAGCAAGGCTGGAAAATAGCTTTTCCTTCCTTAAAAAAAAAGTCTCACTGATGTATGTAAGATTGTGAACCCAAAGGTGTGCTTAATTCACTATTTTAGAGGTAACTGGCTAGACCTACTTGCTTGTGCGTGGCATTGTACAGGAACCATTTCCTTTAATCTTTAAGGCTTTATCTCCTAAAATGAAGCACATCCTCCCAAAATAACCCCAGCAGACTGGGAAGCTCTTCAAAAACTTGAGTGACTGCACACTTATTTTATGAATATTAAATAGTACCATCCCTATAGCCTGTGTTATCATAGATATTATTTCTTTAGATGAAACATATTTATATACTTATAAGTGTGTGTGTGTGTGTGTGTGTGTGTTTGCGCGCGCGCGCACAGGTGAAGTCCAAAGATAACCTCAGATGCCATTCCTCCAGTGCCATTCACTTTGCTTTTTAAGACAGAGTTTCTCACTTTCACCATAGGCTAGATTAGCTGGCTGGGGAGTCCCCAAGGATCTGCCTATTTCCATGTCCCCAGCACTGGGATTAGAAGCTCATGCCGCTATGTTCAGCTTTTAAAAGTGAGTTCTCTGTGATCTCGCTGACATCTTCATGCTTACAAGATGCTGTACTAACTGGGCTATCTCTTCAGCCCCTCCTGCATGAAACTAATTTTTAAAGAGAATCGCTGAAAAACATCTCTATAAGTCAATTACAGGAACAAGAACACAGGTGGGCACATGGCAGGACCTGAGGTGTGGGAAGAGGGTCTGGAAACCTTGAACTCTCAGGGTTGGTTTTGAACGAGTCTCAGGAGAGCTTAACCACCTTTCAAGGTCACCAGCCAGCAGGTCCGAACTGCACTTACGTCTCCTCTTCTGCCATCTGATCATCCCCTCCATCACTTCTCGGCCTCTTCATACATCATTGCTCCCCCTTCCCCCAAAGGAAAACCAGCATCAGAAATGGTTGTGCCAGCTGAGTGGTTTTTAGCTGGGGTGATTTCGGCTTTCAGGGACTGTTCAAGATGCCTGGAGTCTTCAGAAGCAGCTACTGCACTGGGTGGGTCAGAGGCCAAGGGTCCTTTGATTTTATTTTTGAAGAGCGCTGCACAATAATGAAAAACACAGCCAATAATATACCAGTAACACTAAGCTTGGGAGTGATTGACATGATGGATCTGTAGGTGCTGTTACTGACTGATAGGGACCAATGCTGATTTTATAAGAACTTAAAAATTGCAACCAACATTTAAAACAACTGTGTGTGTGTGTGTGTGTGTGTGTGTGTGTGTGTGACACACATGCATGGGAAAGTTCCAAGGGCTATACAACAAATCTGTGATTACTTCTAGAGATGGGTCAAACTTAAGCCAACTTTTATTTTAAGAACGTATTTTGCCAAATCAAGCCACATGCTAATATTTCTTTCTGCTTCACTTGACTAATATCTGAGGATCTTCTCAGGGAGACTGTATTACACTTATGAGCAAAACAAACATTGGATGAGTGGGACACCGGAAGTGTCCTGCTAGTGGCTGGCAGAGAGGCTCTTTGAAATCCTACGTGGGGCAGTGGAGTTTGTGCAAGGTGGTGGCCTGGGTGTCCTTGCTACTGATCATTCTGCTTCCTGAATGACAAAGTTTGGTGTTCATTACTGCAATGTATACCTATTGGCCTCATTGGGGTCATTGGGACATTCAAAACAAAATAGGGGAGGGATTAACCCCTTCCCCCAACGCTGTGGGGTACCTCAATACACCCACATACTCTCTGTTCTTCCCAGGTTATGGAAACCCCAGAGATGTCAGCTCCTACGGGCTGGACTTGGACTGTGGGGCCCCCGGAACTCCAGAGGCTGGCATCTGTTTTGACCCCTGCCAGAAATACACAGTCCTGGATGATCCCTCCAGAAGCACAGAGAACACAGAGTTAGGAGCAGAATGTGATAATGAGCTGCATGGCTGGTACCGCTTTGTAGGTGACGGAGGAGTGAGGATGCCAGAGACCTGTGTGGATGTAAACCGGTGCCACACCTCTGCTCCCATGTGGCTGAATGGATCTCACCCCGTTCTCGGAGATGGCATTGTCGGGCACACAGCCTGTGCCCACTGGAATGAAAATTGTTGCTTCTGGAGTTCTGAGGTCCAGGTGAAGGCCTGCACAGATGAGTCGGGAGACTATCACGTGTATAGGTTTCAGGGTACCCCTGAATGCAGTCTGAGATACTGCACAGGTAAGCTACAGAGCAGGGTGGCCTGCACCCGGAATGCAGTGGTGCCAGCGGAGATGGTCAGGAGGAGACTAGGCAAAGCAGGCACTCCTGGGCTCCTGTCAGAAATACACACATAGCAATGTGAAGCAGGATCTGCCAGGCACAAGCCAGAAACTTACATTTCAGTGTGAGATAGCCATGACTTAAAAATGTGTATTGCATAAGATTGGGCTAGTTGGAAGGCTCAACAGGTAAAAGTGCTTGCTGTGAAAGTATGGGGGCATGAGTTCAAATGCCCAGCATCCATGAAAAGGTTGGATGTGGCCACGCATGCCTGTTACCCCCAGACTCTGGGGACCAGAGACAGAAAGCTGGACCCAGGTTCAAAGAGAGACCCTGTCTTCAGGAAATAAGCTGAAGGGTGACTGAGCAGGACACCTGATGTCCTCCTCTAATGTCTGTACATGTATGAGTGCTCACTCCCACACATGCATATAACACACACACACACACACACACACACACACACACACACACACACACACTATCAAGAACCTAGGCTCATTCAAACTTTATTCCTCTTAGAGCCTGTTTTCTGATCTGAAACAGAAGGTCAAAAATAACAGCTCACACTGCTCACACAGGACCCGCTACCATTCTGCTTTTAGCCCATCGATGCACTGAATCCCCCTGCTCAGTCCATGAAAGAGTGTCTATGCAGTCATTCATATTAGGATCTAAGAACACAAAAAGGTCACACTGGGACTTAAACCCAGGCCCCATAGCCCCTTCAACTGTGGACTTAAAATCATTCTGCCCTGTCACACATTTCTACCACAAGGGTCAAATGAGCCAAAAAACAGAGGAAGTAGTTAGGATAGCACTTGGCCTGGCAGTTTCAGGGATGTTACTCGCTCTGCTGGATTTGGGAGTCAGGAAATACAAATTGAGGGCTTGGGTTCTTCTGGTAAGTATCTTATATGTTTATAAAGATTCTGAAGGACTGAGAGCATGGACCTGGGAGGACTCAGACCCATCCTGCTCTGCATCCTGATCCTCTTTCTTCCTCCCTTTCCTTTAGACCCTTCCACCGAACCACCGAAGTGTGAAGTTCCTTGTCGTCCTGAGGAGGAATGCACGCTCCAGGATGGCATCTGGACCTGTGTCTGTAGGCAGGGCCTCAATGTTTCCGGTGAGCAGCTCCCAGGCCTGAGGAGGTAGGGCAAGAGGAAGAGGCTTAGAAGGTCAGGATGAGGCAGGGAACAGAGTCAAGGGCCATGGAACTGACATTGTGGAGATCTTGAGATGTATTTGGTCTGCTTATTATGAAGCCAGCAGGTTTGCAAGGGTGCGAGAGGGTGGTGCCAGACCAAACTTCCAGGTAAGCTACTGGAGCATTGTATCAACAGGTGGCTCTGGCACGGGCCTCTGGCTTTGCTTTAGTCCGGAATACAGGACCACTTTCATTTCCCAAGGGCAGCTAAGTCAATCCTGTACTTCAGATGCTTGGAAATCTTGGACCAGAGACCTCTGTATCAATCCAAGCGTGACTTCTACTGGGGTCCCAGACCTCATCTAGTCTATTCAGCAACTTGATGGGCGTGGTGGATTTGCCTAAAGGCAGAGAATGTAGATGCTCTTCGCTGTCCATGTCCTCTGTCCACTCCACTGACCTCCTTCTTGGACTCCTAGATATTCAGGGTTTGCAGCCTCAGCTGGACTGTGGAGCCAATGAGATCAAGGTGAAGCTGGACAAGTGTTTGCTGGGAGGTCTGGGCTTTAACAAGGAGATCATTGCCTACCTGAATGACAGGAACTGCAGCGGGATCATGCAAAATGAGTCCAACAACTGGGTGTCCATGACCAGGCCTGTTTTGGCTAGTGATTGTGGGAACATTCTGGAGGTAGGTGGTATTCACACCATTGCTGCTAGAGGGTAGTATTTGTGCAAATGGGAACATCTTCATAGCTGTGAGAGCTTAGGCAAATGTCTTATCCCTTTGGAGCCTCTAGGGTTATGTGAATTTATACATTCTGGTCCATGTTAAAGGGCTTAGGTTGGATCGGTTAACATTTGAGCTTCATGACGTCAGCTCTAATTATGATGATTTTTAATCAGGGGTGGGGAGAGAAGAGCAAGCATGGCAGCCTCTGTCAATCATTCATTTCCTAGCGTTTACTCTGGGCTTCCCATAAGTGTTAGCTCTACAGTCAAAGGAGGACTCCTTACTCCCTAGAGGTCGGGGTGTCTCCATGGTTAGGAACACTGACTATGGAATCAGACAGCTCTGAGTTTGAGGTCCACCTACACACATCTGCTTACTAAACACGTGTGGTTTCATGTTTATGCCAAAGAGCAATGGGACCCATGCCAGCTACAGAAACACCCTCTCCTTGGCCACCGATTTCATTATCAGGGACTTCTTCGTCAATGTCAACTTCCAGTGTACCTACCCACTGGACATGAAGATCAGCCTCCAAACTGCACTCCAGCCCATTGTAAGGTATGGCTTTGACCTTTGACCTGTAGCTCTGACATTTATCACACACATACAATCTACGATGCCCACACGGTGCTGCCAATCAACCTGCTTCAGGAGCTGCCACGCACTAAATTATTTAACTCTGTATTGTAACCAAGAACATTCAGCCTGATCAAGGCACTTGTGACAGTAAAAACTTTTACTACAAGGAAATGTTGTACCATGGATCAGTGCTTAAAATGTGCTCAGGAAACAAAACCGCCAGACAAGTTCATTCACCTTGAGGAGAAAGGCAGCAAGCAGGCAACGAACTGTATCAATAGTCTTCATTGACAATCATTTTCAAGTCAGACAGTGAAATGTAGGAGAAGCATGTGCTGCTTCTGGTCAGTGGACATGGGTCCCCGAACTAATCTCAGTGAGGAGAGAGACTGGAAGGGGGTAGGGAGGCTTCCTTGCAGGCTTGGAATTTAAACCCAGTAAATTTACGTCTACCTTTGAAGAAACAGCAGCTATCCTCACAAGAAATAGAAGGAAACAACAGTTTGGGTGGGATTGGATCCAGGCAGGGCTTTTTGTTTGCATCTGTTTCTCTCTGCGCCTGTGCCTGGAGCGAGGCTCACTGACCCAGGTTTTACATTGTCCAAGAATTGCCAAGGGATTCTTCTAAATCTTCAGCTGGAAATCCAAGGTGTCTGGCCCATCTCCCGATTGCCTCCTGGGCTCTCAGAATTGCAGGATGAGAAGGGTTGAGAAAAAACAAAAAACATCAAACTTCAAAAGTTTTCAGGCTATCTCACATTGGAGCCTACGTTCCTAACAGAAAGAAAAGAAAGAAAGAAAGAAAGAAAGAAAGAAAGAAAGAAAGAAAGAAAGGAAGGAAGGAAGGAAGGAAGGAAGGAAGGAAGGAAGGAAGGAAGGAAGGAAGGAAGGAAAGAGAGAGGGAGGAAGGAAGGGAGAGAGAGGGAGGGAGGGAGGGAGGGAGGAAGGAAGGAAGGAAGGAAGAAAGAAAGAAAGAAAGAAAGAAAGAAAGAAAGAAAGAAAGAAAG